AATGTCATGTGACCATTACACAAATGCCATGTGACCTGCCAGTCATGCTGGTGTGACACAGGTTACAGATATCTTATTCCAACCAATTGCAAGAGACAGTTAATCGTAACACAGAGAGGATTTTCAAATTTTCTGTTAACACTGGGATTTGAACTCTGGACCTGCCACTTGGGGGTTGACAACCTGACCACTTCACTAGGTCGCCACACCTCTTTGAAAAATAATTTAAATACTATATTGATTAATTCTATAATAAAAAATTTTGCAATTAATAATATTGAAGTTAATTTGAATTTAGATGTATATAAATATAATTCAAATATAAATATGTATAATTTAAACTTGAATGCATATGATTTAAGCTTGAATATATATAATTTGAACTTGAATATACATAATTTGAACTTGAATAACTATGATTCAGATACTAATAATGAATTCACAAATAACAAAGCAATTGAACTGAAGACAATCTAAAAAAAGCATAATTGACTATATATTAAGCTTTTTATAACAAACTTTCAGATATACAAATCCAAAATATTATAATAATTTTTTATAATGAATTTTTTTTTTCCAAAACCATCAGTTTGTTATAGAAAAAATCAATTTATTTATTACTTTTTCATATGTAACTAACAAAATTTAACTTTTTAGGCAGTAAAATTTATCAAAAAATTATCGGATTTTTCTCAACAAAACAAAAAACCAAATGCAGTTAAAAAAGGCTTTGATCTAATTAAAAAGATGGTAGAAGACCTGGAAGTATTTGAAAAGGCAAAAACCTAAGAATAACTTGGTGTAGTAAAATAAATGCATTGTTCAGTTTTATATGACAAAAAAGATTATATTATAAAAATTTCAGATAATAAAACTTATTGGGCTTCATTGTATAAAGTATGCAAAGATAATTTTATTACTTTATTCAAATGTATAGAAACAGACCAATATCGTTATTACCAACACGTTTTCAATTTCCATTCGGAAAACTAATTTGAATTACTTCGCTCTAATAATATTTGTCACGGAAAAGATGTTTATAGATCACATTAAAAAAAAAATTATTTTATGATACAGTATTTTGCATCGTTTAATTACTTTGTATCATTTAATTACTGTGATTGATCGGAGTGTTGATTTAAATACCGCTACGTAACTGATTTTTGGGTGATGCTAGTAGTATGGTTTTGCATAGCAACTGTCGGAGCTTCGCTGAAAATAGAGACGGCCTTAATTTTCATTTTTCACTTATGAAATGTTATATTCCGGACTTTTGACAGTGATAGTTTATCTCGTACATCATATCCAGTTTAGGCCAAATCAAACCGGTTTTAATCTTGATGTATAAAGCAACTAACCATACGAATGCGTATATTTGTACACGTGAGCGTGAGTACTGTTCCGCATAAGTATAAATAACCCACTTTTTACAAGGATGGCAATCATCTTTTAAAGATGTCTAAATACTTTATTGAATTTAAGAACAAGGCTGGATTAGGTCAATATTCGACATTCTGTGTCTATCAACAGATGAATGATGCCGAATATATAGACAGTGTAGCCTGGCTCGTTACTTCTGTACCTGGTGGTTCAGCATCTACTGTTTCTTGGAAGATTGGTAAATATATGGTCGCTTTAGCCGAATATCGATTAAAAGGACACATTGGCATTTATCATACCAAGCAAAGTGCCACAGCAGAAATTGGATCAGCTTGGCAGATTATTGATTATGATGTAAGTTTAATATTAAAAACCAAAAAATAAAAATAAAAACATAAGATTGGTGATAAAATGACACATATTTTTGTATTAGGGCAAAGATTCAGAAACACAAACACTTGTGCCCTTATCAAGTGGAGGTAGAGTTGAACCCGATACAATAAAAATTACTAACAACTCAACTTCATCAGCAAATTGTGGAGTAGGAATGTGGGGCGGTACAACAGCTTTTGAACGAAATGTACAACGCAATTCTACATCAGTGTTTAAAATTAAGCCACAATATTGGGTTGGAGTTTTTGATATTGAAATACAGAGAGGTCAAGTGATCGAAGATAATGCCCTAACTTCAAAACCGATTTCATTTCCATCTGACAAAAATTTAGCAATTGTTACTGCTATAGCTGAAAATGGAAAAGTTGTTCTTACAGTTGAATTTGGAGAGAGAACATCAGATTCATATTTTAGATCCCTTCGAGATTTTTGTGCGAAACTATATGAAATTATATTTATAGTACCGATTTCTTTTATTAAAAACTGCTTCATGTTCGTTTTTGAAGCTATTGGGTCAAGTAAAAAAAAGAACTAAAAATTGAAGAAAAATTACATTTCACATAGCAAATAATAACAATTCCCTACTTCATAATTACATTTTTATATATTATTAGACACCTATTTATTCATCTTTTTAAATTATTAGGACGTAGGTTAAGATTTTTTTGTGGAAATTAATATTGATCATTATGGAATAACTATAAATCTTTTATTTTTTTGATTTTAATAAAGATGTCAATATTCCAAACCTAATTGGGTTCTCTTGAAGATACACAATTAAATTGCTCAGTAAAATGTTGAGTCAAATTCTTACTTTGAGCCTTTTTACAGAAACTGTCAATTTAGCAGCTTTAGAACTACTTTAAAGTAACTATAAAGTAGCTATATAGTTACAGTAGCTATAGTTTTAAAGTTATTACAAAATAGCAATACGCCTTCTACTACTTACGCTATTCTACTACTATTTGGCAACTATTTTATCATATTATTACTACAATCATTTTTGAAATTTTTGAAAAATTCTAGTAAAATAGTAGTAGGCTTATTGCTATTTTGTAATAACTTTAAACTACAGCTACTATAAAGTAACTATATAGTTACTTTATAGTTACCTTAAAATAGTTCTAAAGTTGTTAACTCGGCAGTTTCTGTAATGCTTATAAGTTTGTTTTTATCTTTTTGGCCAAAGTTTGAATGTGTTACATAATTTTTCGTGAATCATAATTTGAAAATTTCCAGTCACATTGATACAGTATAATTAAAATTTTTATCCTTTATTGAAAGTAATATGTTCTTTCTTAGTAGCTGACATTCATAGATTGTGGCTTCAATTATTTGTATATAAATTCCTGTTAAATGTGATCATTAATTATTTAAGTGACAACATGAAATGACTAAAAACTACCGTATTTAATCATACCGTATAATACTAACATCAGGAAATTTAAAACTTGATTGGAATCGATCAATTAATATATTGATAATTTATTGCGGTTTGCAACATTATGTGAAATTTGAAGATCAATAAAAAAAAAGTAATCACTAATTTCCGATTTCTTCAACTTGACTTTTAAACTAGACAAAATTTATCATTTGTAAAAATTTGATTGAATATCTTAATGCGTAACTCCTATTTCTGCAAATCTATTATTACACAATCGAAAATTAGTGATTACTTTTTTTAAAAAAAATTTCATAATTTTGCAAACCACAATAAATCATCACACCAATTAAAATCAATCGATTATAATCGATTAATTGGTTATAATCAAGGTTTAAAAGTTTTTGATGCTATAATTATAGGTGCAGACATTTAGAAGTCATAGGAAGACTTTACAGAACAACTACTTGCAATTAACTATAACTATATAGTCATCTTATAGTAATCATAGTTTTAAATTAATATAAGTTAACAATACGCCTACTACTATTTTACAACTATACAGTATATTAGCAATATTTTTACTACAGTTTTATAAAAAATTTAAAAAATTGAGATTTTGCTTTTTTATAAAATTGTAGTAAAAGTATCGTTAATACTGTATATAGTAGCGTATTGGTAGGCTTATTGCTAACTTATGTTAAATGCAAAACTATAGTTACTATAAAGTAGCTATATAGGTATTTTACAGTAGTATTAAAGTTGCAAATGTGCTTATGTTTCTGTAAAGGGCTTTAATATGATTGGCTGTTTAAATTCGTTGAATTTTACATTATTTATACACTTTAAAGTACTTTTAAAAAATAATATACAGTTAAAGCTCGATATAACGAAGCCCACATTTCGACCTTATGCCTTTGCTATATAGAAATATTCGGTTATTAGAAGACAAATTTATATGTTCACACTTATGATGCAAAAAATTTTCGTTATTTCAAAATATTCGCTATGCAAAAATTCGTAATCTCGAGAGTCAACTGTACAAAAAATAAATAATAACAAAGTGAGTAGAAAGTTTCATTAGGATGGTAGGGCTATAATTGTTAGGCGAAACTTTTTTTCGAAAATGGCTAAACACGAAACTGGCGAAACTCCGGCGAATGGCGAAACCCTTGGCAAATGACGAAACCCCTGGCAAATGGCGAAACCCTCGGAGAAAGACGAAGTTCAAGCTCCCAGCAAGTTTAAATTTTCTAAGACTTTGGAAAAGACTGAGCCATGTTGGAGAATGAATATTGTATGTGTCTATTAATCATTGCATGCGTGCATATGACTCATATAAAAAATATACGTACGTATGTATCATATGGTGGATGAAAATATTTGCATGACTATTAAGTACAGCATGTGGTTCATATAAAGAAATATATCCAAGCTATGTTAGTTAATGAAATATTTGTGAGTGACTATTAGGCACAGCATGTGACTTATATAAGAAAAGTACCTAAGCCGTGTTGGTAAATAAAAATTTTCGCATATATTGTAATTATTAAGCACAATATGTGATTTATACAAAAAATCATGTTGAATTAAATATTTACATGTGGTTATTAAGCATAGTTTATGACTTATATGAAGAAACATACTTAAGTCATGTTAGTTAGTGAAATATTTGTGTATAGTTATTAAGTACAACATGAGCTTATATAAAAAAATAAAAAAATAAAAGTTCTGTGTATTTGAGTACTTTTAAAAGAAAACTAGATTTTAGGTTTTTGAACTTATAATCAAATCAACTTCAAAAATTTTAAACTTGAAATTTTATTTTCTTTTTTTTTTTTTTTTGGTATTAAGGTGAGGCCTTGCTTATATCTTTATTAATAATTTAAAATAGTTACATGTATA